CCGTGGGACTGGGAACCCCCCCATGGAACTGGGACCCCCCCCATGGGACTGGGCCATCCCCCTCCCACTCCACCACCCATCGACACCCCAAAAATGGGTGGTTGCTACTGGAAACCACCCCAAACAGGGGGGTCCTCTCTCCCCACCCTCCCCAAACCATGGGGTGAAGATGGAGAAGCCAACCTGCTTTGGGGACCCTTTATTGTCCTCCCCCACCCCACGGCATCCCCCATCTCCATCCGGGGCCACCATGGGGTGTCACTGGTGCTACCCGTTGACGGAGGCCCCCCCACGAGCTGGTTTCTCCCCATCCTTCATCCCCTCCAACAACCCAGCGCTTTCTTCGGCGCCTTCATCTGCTGAGAAGATGCCACCAGTGACGCCGTGGAGCTCAGCCAAGCGGTGGAAGGTCTGCGCCAACAGCAGGACGCCCGTCAGCCCCAGCAGCAGATACACTGGTGGTGGTGGGACAAGACATCGAGGACCCAACCTCAACACATCAAGAACTCCAAGACATCAAGAACCCAAAGCATCAAGAACTCCAAGACATCAAGGACTCAACATCAAGACATCAAGAACCCAACCCAAAGACATCAAGGAACCCAACATCAAGACATCAAGAACTCCAAAACATCAAGGACTCAACATCAAGATATCAAGAACCCAACTTCAGGACGTCACGAATCCAAGATCAAGACATCAAGAACTCCAGGACATCAAGGACTCAACATCAAGATATCAAGAACCCAACCTCAAGACGTCAGGAATCCAAGATCAAGACATCAAGAACTTCAGGACATCAAGGACCCAACCTCAAGACATCAAGAACCCAACCCCAAGACATCACGAACTCCAAGACATCAAGGACCCAACATCAAGACGTCAAGAACCTAACCCCAAGACATCAAGAACCCCAAGACATCAAGGATCCAACCTCAACCCATCCAAGACCTTCAACCTGGGGGGGTGGTGGGGTGGTGTCTAATCCCCCAAATTCCACTCACCAGCCAGGGCCACTTGGTAGAGTTGCCTCAACGGTTGACCCGGTTGCTCGGCCGGCACGAGATCCCCCAACCCGATGGTGCAAAGGGAGATGACGCAGAAGTAGACGGCATCCAAGTAGGTCCAGGAACCTTCCAGGACGTAGAACCCGGCAGCGGGGAGAAGCACCAAGACCCCTAAGGTGACCCCCACCAAGAAGACGAAGTGGACGCGGGCTGCCCCACACCGGCTGTAGCCCCACTGCGCCTGGAGGTACAACCGGGGCCGGTTGACCAAGGGACCCGTCAGGCGCCTCACGGTTGCCGTCAACATCAACATGGTGATGGGGACGCCCACCACGGAGTAGACCATGCAGAAGGCTTT